ATAATTGGAATTATGATTTGGGGACACTATTAAATCTTACTTATCTTGAAAAACACCATTATTATGAGCTCTTCTTTCTCATCTTTCTTGTTCAGATGGTCATTGGGTTGGTTTGTACACAGTTGTGGTCCTAAATCCCTAACAATGTTAATTCTTATGTAAACATATGTGTGCTATGGTCTTAATGTTTGACTTCCCTCCATATTAAGATGTCAAAATCCCAAGATAATAGTATTAGGAGGTGGTGGGGCTTTGGGTGGTGCTTTGATCATGAGAGTAGAACCCAATGAATGAAATTAGCGCCTTATAAAAAAGGCTCTAGAGTGATATCTAGCCTTTCACCATGCGAGGACACTGACAAGTTAACAGGTATGAACCAGGAAGAGGGCCCTTCCCACATTAGCACCTTGAACTTGGATTTCCTTGCTTCTTGAACAGTGAGCAATAAATTGCTGTTGTTTAAAGCCATGCAGTCTTTAGTATTTTTGTTAGAACAGCTTGAATGGACTAATACACAGTCTACACATTTACCTACCACCTAAATACGAACATTTGAGAGGCCATTAAGTCATTTATTTCTATATTCCTACTAGATATTACCAGACCGAAGACCAACTACATATTGAACAAATGGTTGCAGAATTGAATAAGTTTGAGAAGAGGGTCAGATACTTTGACATCTTCTCTTCGAAATGAAATAGAGAGCTTTCAGGGATAGGTAATTCCCTGTGAACATTTTTTTTAAGCCACTCCACTCAAAAAAAAAAAAAAAAATCAAACAAAAATGTTTCCAATCACATTCAATTAAATTTTTATACCTAAATTGTTAAATATGATAACTTATGACTCAATGCATTGATTTCATTTTAACTCAAGTTGGAAAAATAATTTGGACCCACTTTATTGTTTTCTTATTCTACAACTTTGAACATCTCATCTTCTCTAAGAGTCATGAAATGTTATATTATGACCTTTCTTTATTGGTACCCTGATAGTCCTTATAATGGAAGAGCGACAACAAAAGACAGCTTAAAACAATTCTTCCAAGATTTCATGAAGTACAGTACATCTGCAGTATGTGCAATAATATACTTAGAATGTTTATTGTTGACTTTTACATGTATTCACATATAAGCTATGCTACTAAAAGTTGTGAGTGATTTATGCATATAGATAGATTATGCATTCTTTTGAAAACATTATAGTTTTATTTCTTTTGTGGTCTCTTAATTTTTATATTGGTACTCAAATCGAGGGCAGATAGAGAGCTATTTATGACCTACTTAACTAACCCATGCAGAGGTGAAGAATCCTTGCTAGATTTGATTAGATGTCATTGAGGAATACTGATTTGTGAGAGCAGGCCCCTAGAAGTTGGTAATGTGTTAATGACAGAGAGGATAGTATATAGGTTAGTTGATAAGACTCAAGTCGGTGATAGGTATTAGGCCTTAAAATGGGATTTCAATTAGGATGACAAAAGTAAAAAAGACTGGGTTAGTAAATAATTTAAGAAGTGAAGCCAGTGGTAGTTTGGGATGGAAGCAAGTAAAGTAGATGTGACAAAGTTATACATACCAAATGAACCTAGTGAACTCAAAATAAATCCATTTAGTTAACAATTATAATAATTAAATTGAACATTTATGAGGTTAAAACACATTCTAAAACCAATTGCATCCTCAAGCGAATATAACAACCATAACTGATATATACCAGCAAACAAAATACATGAAGCAGACACTGACAGCTTTGAAGACAGAAATAGTTCTACAAAATTGTTGGAGACTTCAAGAAACCACTTCCAATAATGAATAGAAACAAAAAGAATTATAGAAAACTAGAAAAAAAAGGGAACTTTCTCAACAAGATAAAGGCCAGTTTAAAAAAAAAAATCTGTCATCTTGAAAGATTGAAAACTTTTCTCTAAGATCAAAAACAAGACAAGAATGCCCATTTTCACCACTGCCATTCAATATAGTCAGAGCAATCACTCAAGAAAAGGAAATTTTAAAAGCATCCATATATGAAAGGAAGAAGTAAATTCTCTTTATTCACAGATGGCATAATTCTATATGTAGAACTCTTATTAAAGAATTCATAAGAAAGCTATTAGAGCTACACAAATTCAGCCAAGTTGCAGGGTACAGGGTTAACACCCAGAAATCAGATTTTTTTTTTAATACCTGCAATAAAGAATTCATAAAGGAAATTAAGAAAGCAATTCCACTACAAGAATATCTACTGGAATAAAATACCTAGGAATAAATTTATCCAAGGAGAAAAGATTTGTACACTGAAAACAATAGAACATTGTTCAAAGAAATTTGAAGATGCAAGTAAGTGGAAACATCCCACATTCATGATAGACTTAATACTATTGCAATGTCAATACCATCCAATGTGACCTACAGGTTCAATGCAATCTTTATCAAAATTCCAAATCCTGTTTTGCAGAAACGAAAAGCCAGCCCTCAAAATCATATGCAACTGGAAGGGGCTCAGATTAGCTAAACTGTCTTGAATAACCAGAACAAAATTGGAGGACTCATACTTACTGGTTTCAAAACTTACAAAGCTACAGTAATCAAAACATTGTGGTATTTACATAAAAACAAGCATATAGACCAATGGAATAGATTATACTGTCTGGAAATAAACCCATATATCTATAGTCAACTGTTATTTTGATAGCCTGTCAAGTCCATTCAATAGGAAAAGAATAGTTTTAAACAGACAGTGCTGGGGACACCGGGTTTTCACATTTAAAAGAATAAATTTGGACCTTTACCTCAAGTTGTATACAAAAATTTACTTGAAATGGATCAATCACTTAAATATAAGAGCTGAAACCACAAAACTCTTAAGGGAAAACATAGGAGTAAACCTTGATGACCTTGAATCGGGCAATAAATTCTTAGATACGATGCCAAAAGCACAAATAATATAAAAATATATAGACTTCATAAAAATAAAACATTTTTGTTTGTTGAAGTAAATAAAGTGAAAAGAAAGTGAAAAGAGAATCTACGGAATGGGAGAAAATATTTGCAAATGATATATCTGAAAAGTATTTGATATCTAGAATATATATAAAATATCTTCAACTCAAAAACAAAAAACAATCTAATTTAAAAATGGCCAAAGGACTTGAGTTAACATTTCTCTAAAAAAGATATACAAATAGCCAATAAGTATATGAAAAGATCAATACCATTAGTGACCAAGAAACTGCAAATCTATACCACAATGAGATAATTCACATGTCCTAGAATGACTATTAAAAAATTGAAAATTACAAATGGCGAAAAATTGGAACCTTTGCAAACATGCACATTGCTGGAGTGAATGTAAATGATATAGCCACAGTGGAAAACAGTTTGGCAGTTCCTCGAAAAACTCAACATAAAATTACCCTCTGATCGAGCAATTCCAACTCCTAGGTCTATAGCCAAAAGGATAGAAAACTGAAACAAATATATATACGTATATATCAATGTTCATTTTAGCATTATTCACTGTGCCCAAAAGGTGGAAACAACACAAGTGTCCATCAAAAAATGAATAGATAAACAAAATGTGCCATATATATGCAATGGAACATTATTTAGCCATAGAAAGTAATAAAATTCTGATAACATGCTTCAATATGGATGAAACTTGGAAACATTATGATTAGTTGAATAAGCCAGATATAAAAAGACAAATATTTAATGATCTCACTTACATGAAATATTGTTCAATTTGTCCCCTTTTTGTCACCATAAACATTTATCTATGCACGTACACACTTACACATATGTAAACAGGATTGCTCCAGGCATTAGGGTTATCAAGAAATAGAATGAAGCCAGTTACCCAAAGTCGCAAATTAGCTACAACATTTCAACTCAAACCTGTTACTTCTATTTCAATCATAGATTGAATGGATCTGAGAGTACATGAGTGTTGAGTGTGAGTGTGCGTGTGTGTTCATATGTTTAAATTGTTATCTAGTGTATTTCCTGAGCAGTTTCCAAGTGCCATCTAATGGCTGGCATTCTGAAACCTCTCTATGGATGATTAGATATTTATAATAGTCTGAGAGACATGAAATGGTTAACAGATTAATCTAAATTTCTTAAAAGACAAACAGTTTTCTGGCTTTTTCACTTTTAACTAATTTAAGAAAATTTTAAACTATATATTACTTCTAATAATTAATAACTACCAGAATTGTCAAGGAACAGAAATAAAAACTCTAATGCTTTAGAGAATCTTACTTCAACTGTTAATAACAATGATATTAATAATATTTCTAATTGAATTTACTGTTCACACCAAGTGCAGTGATTAGTTTGTATGCATTTTCAAATTTTACAATGTGTTTCTCCTGTAAGACTATGGAAGCATAGAGGGAGTAAATGGTTAAATTCACTCAGCTCTAGAATTTGAGCTAAGGCCTGCTTGACTCCAGGATGAGCTATTAAAGTCTAGGCTTAGATACTGCTTAAATATGACCATATTAACATTAGCTATCAAAGATATATTATTCCTATTTATGCTGGTGTTAAATCAGATGTATGTTCTTTATTTACCCTGGAATTGTGCAAAATTGGAGAAATGGACACTTATAAAGAAACATAAGGCCTAAAATTATTAAAACATCACTGCCTTGGCTCTCCAAAAAAAGCAATAAATAAATTTGTATTAATTACAATATGCCTACCTTGATGCTTTTTGAAGTTCCGCTAGGAAAAGAGATCCCTCATCACTGTCTGTCTTATACTGAGGTATAAAGTTTCTGTAATGCTGTTTAAACAGCTGTTCTGCTTTCCCATAGAATTGGATGCACCTCAGTCATGGAAGAAATAGTTCCAACATTATAAAGCAATTTGTAATCCTTTAAGGGTTTTGCACTAAATAAATGTAAAATAGTATTATTAGTTCTTGGAAATATCAGTTCACCATTCATACTTGAAACATTTGCTATTTCCACAAATCAGGCAATGTGCAAATTCTGTCATAATAAAACATTTATTTGTTAAAGTGATATAGATTATTCAAGATTCTACAGTTTTAAATCATGGATGGCAATGTAACATGGATTGATACAGAACTCGATGCCAATGTAGGCTTTTTTCTTTCTTTCTTTAAAAAAAAAAAATAAACTTGTGGGCGAGAAGAAAAAAACAATTTGGTTTTAAAAGGAGATGGAACCATGATCTGATGGAGCCAGTTCCAGCGGCATCACAGACTTCTGCTTCGGCTCCTGTGGACAATTTCTCCTAGGATACCAGTTCAACAATTAGCCTTCATGAATTGAAACATTTTTTAAATTTTATCCAGTAAAATATCAATTGCAAATTTTTTTCAAGAGAGAGAAGTGATGCTCTTCAGATTAACTCCAGCCTCTGAAATGAAAGGGAAAAAGAAAGAAAAAAAGAAAGAAAGAAAGACATAGCTAATAAGATCATTGTGCTAGAAATCTAGAAGTTACTGAACTGTAAGCACTCAGGCAGGAGCTTCTTGCTATAAAACACAAGGCACAACAACCTAGACATGCACCTTAGCACTTAAAATGTTGCTTCGTAATTTAAAATTGGTAGATATATAAAAGGATTTTATTTTTTAAAAAAATCTAAATGTACTAAGCCTAAATAGTTTTGCAAGTGAAAGCCAAATGTGAAATGGCATTTTCTCTTGCTTTGGTGTTCCACATTAATATTCTCAAGATAAAAAATATAATGATTTTATTCAGTAATGTATGACATTTAAGTTTTAAAAAATATTCATACTGGTTTTAAAAATACGAACATATTAAATTTGTTCACCACAACTAAAGCCTAAGTGATTGCTACTTTTTTACATATCCTGCTGGGAGTTTTGTATCATATTAAAATTATATAAAATTTAATTATACACTTAATGATAATGAAGAAAATTATTCATCTTCAATAATTAGTTCTTCGCCCACAGAACAAGTACAATAAATGTAAAAAATGGCAATAACTCACAAGAAAGGCATTCCATAGTTAAAATGATTTTAAAAGAAATAACATAGAAAACATTTTAAAATATTTTAATATGTTAAATGTATCACATACAATAGATACTTCTCTAAGAAAATAATACAAATAGTAAATTATAAAAATAGTTTTCTTCTAACATGGGTTCTCGGTACTTAGCATTTAGTACTGAATTTAAGATATGTCTGTAAAATCTATCCTTAATGAAGATGGAAAAGAATTTTTGAGAAATATACAGTTTTTATACATATAAAAGTTTTTATACATATAAAATAGAAGTAATTTTTCTCCTCATTCAAAAGTAACTAGAGGTTTAGAACTTGGGGATATAAAATGCAAAGCACAAATGAATCGTGAAATACAGATTCTTAGTTATCTACTGAATATTCAATATCAAAATGCTGATGTAGAACATATTTGGATAACTTGGTTATAAAATTATTAAAGTACATTATGATTATTTAGGTTATTATGTGATAAAGTTAGGCAAAATACTGTAGAGACATTTTATTTAAGAAAATATTTCAAAATATTTGATAATTTCAATAAGTGAAGTTATTTTGGGCACAAATTAACTTTTTATCATTACTGAATAAAGGATTTACACAATGTTTGAGGATCGTTAATAGATAATAGATATGTGTCTTATTTGTGAAAAATAATTATTCTGGAAACTACTGAAATATAGCTAGCACTGTCATACTTTACCTTAAATATTCTTAAAAAACCATTACAAAATCACTTTAAATTACAATGAGATAGATCTAAATTTTTCTCTATTAGATTGATAGATAGCTTATTTTGATGAGATTGAATATCAGTTAAGTTTTTTTTTCTTTTTATATTTCCAATAATATATCCCCTTTGATAGAAAAAAAGATATAATTACATTATATCAAAGTTCAAGTTTCAGAAAGTTGAAATGTTGGAAAGACTAAATATACCAGGAAGAAGAATATAGTGAATAGTAGAACTAGTTTGACTTTAAAACTAAAATAAATTCTTCTAGAATAACAAAATTTATTTTAATATCAAAGTAATGATTCTATAAGCTGACATATCTTAAAGAGTTTTTGATTCAATTTCATATTACGTAATAATATTATTAACAAATTGTGGAATTATGGTTTACATAAAAGCTGTTGATTTTGAAGATTAGGAAATGATAATCAGTTTGGAGAACTTCGATGTGAACCTGCCTGCCCTGAGGCTTCTATTATTATTGAAATGATTACATAATAGGAAGCTGAATAAAAACTTTTGTATATGTAGGATATTCAAAATGATACTTTTTACTTTACTTATCAAATAGACAAACTCTTAATGATGATTCCATAAATATCTAAACATGGAATACAGAATTACATAAAAATCACAAAGAACAAAATAGACTTTAATAACTATGCCAAAATTCTAACAGAACTAAAAATAATGAATTTGAGGTAGGTTCAGCACATTTTGGTAATGGTCCTCAATAACAGTTAAAGAGTATCATGTAAAACACTGTGACAGTCTTATTAAGAGCACTACAAAGAAAAGCACAAATTAAATCTACCTCAACATTAAGAGAAGGAAAAATGTCCTGATATTGAATGCATTCTGGGAAAATGCTGTTACTGCCCTTAACTCAGAATGTAATTAAGAACTATTAAAGCTGTTTATCTTATATACTTAGGATATCTAAAAAAGAAGATAATGATTTCTAAAGGTCATTGCTGACACTACAGTTCATTTTTCCCCCCAGACTTTCTGAAATGTTCAAGTAAATATGTCAAAATTGTGTTTTAATTATTGTAAAAATAATTAAAATGTTTTCTACATATATGCTTACTTTATCACTTTTATTTTTAAAACAATTACTTGAAGGGAATATCATTTTTAAAAACTACAAAACCAAATATTTTATATTGGTCATTCTTCCTTTGGAAACAAAAATTGGAGAGATATCTGGATCATATACACACATTTATTTTGCTTTTTAGTTCTCATTTCATATATATTCTGTGTTTTCCTAGTTATTATTTATTTATAATCAATATTACTTTTTTATTCATTTATATATTAGTAGTTTCTCTAAAAGAGCTGTATGATTTTCATGGTAATTGTATCTGTAGCAGAGATTTTATGGCATAGTTTAAAAATTTAAATACCTCGATCAATACCAAGCAAAATAATGTCAAATTTATTAAAATCAAGAAACAATTATATTAAAAGCTAGTGGAAGCAATCACAGGAAAAGTAATATTTCTCATGCATACTTAAAAACACTCACACAATGTACACATATTTTGTTGTTGGTATAAATATAACAAATATTTTATAAGAAATTTTACTTAAGGTATTTTCAGTATAAATACAAAAACAGTCAACTGTTCCTATTTTAACCGCCAAACATGGCATATCATTTGTTTTACCAGGTTCATTTTAAGGATAAAAATCTTTAATCATAAGATTAATTTATATGTAAGTACCAGTTTACTTATAATTATCACTAATTGTATAAATAATATCTTTCCCTTTTGCTCTCAATTTATCTTAGTGTGATTGGAATCTTATGATTTTATTATAGAAGTATAACATGTGATACATTAAACTATTTTCAGCTCACTCTATTTCTGTACACATACAGGGAGGATTTTAAGGAAGAAAATTGACATAGGGCATATTCTGGCTAATGGAAATGAAATAAATGTATTAACTCTTCACCCTTGGAAAAAAAAAAAATCATCTTAACAGATACCTGACTATGAAAAAGAACACCTAAACCACTGACTAGGTGAAAGCTTTCTGCCTGCTCTGTATCTTCTTATTAGAGCTTGATATTATACTAGGGACTGTGGTATAATCAATTTAATAATGTTATCTTGGAAACGTTTTTGACATATTATGCAAGAAATGTGGAGACATGTGTTTTTTTGTTGTTGTTTTTGTTTGTTTGTTTTGCTTACTTTTACTGTCTTATATACATAGGGGACATTTTAATTTAAATTTAATGCAATGGGCAGTATCCAAATTTTTAGAAAATATATTTTGCTTTTGGGGAGGAAAAGACATATTACCAGCAGGAAATATTAACTTAAAATAAATTTTATGTTACATTCCCTTCAAAAAAGAAAAAAAAAGAGCGGAGAAACTGTGAACACAAGTAATCTCTTCCTGCTCTCTTCCTCACTTCATTAACACCCTGTAAAGTACTGTTGACATGTGAAAGGCTATGAGAAGACTCAGAGCACACAGGTCACAGTCTCTTCAAAGAAGCATCACTGTTTGTGCTGACCACTGTAGATATGATAGGCCTGCTCAAGCAGAAATCATTTACCAGGAACCAAGAATAGTTATACTGAGGTCATATGGTGACTTAAATCTGATAATAGAAATGTAGCAAGGAGTTGGCTAACAAGTAAATGATGTGTTGCCACCTAATTTTATTAAAATTATTCTTTGCCTGTGGATTTATTTTTCTTGCTTATGCTTGTAAAAAGAAAAAAGAATTATCCAGACTATAAAGGGAAGTTTTTATGATCTGGTGACATAGTCATTTGTTTTATAAAGGGAACTAAACACAGACTCAACCTAAAGTTTTTTTAAAAGGTGACATATCTCACATATATACATTCACTATGTAAATATAATGCAAAAGACACTTATATACACATGAATTTACTACACGTACAAATGACAAATCATGGAAAGGTTGTGTACCAGATTATTAGTATTTGTGTTTGAGTGTTGGATTATGACAGATTTATATTTTTATTTTTAACTAGATATTTATTTTTAACTATATTTTTCAAAGTTTCTGTATTAATACTAATTGCTTTAGGACAAAGAAAGTCATTATTATAAATCTTATGAAATTATCACATTGGCAAACCCTGTTCTATCTAAGGTAGTACACAAATTCATAGGGAGGGAGTTTACTTTTCTCTAAATTGGACTTCTAACAATGTGGTAAAATAACCACAATAATATGTAACATGTCCCATGAAATCTGAATATTTGAGAAATCACTTTTAATTGGTAATTGAAAAATGATTCAGATTGACTCTCCTGCTTCTAAATTTTGATAGAATATTTAGCATCATTCTAGACCATACTTCTCATAGATGAGCCATTTACTTCGTAACACATTCCTATAGATATCCTTTCTTTCAGGACAGATAAATGTCCAAAGTTACATGATAAATGAACTTTTTAAAACCAAAGAGAGGGAGAGAATGTGAAAAGAGAGGAAGCATGTGTGTGTTTGTGTGTGTGTGCACGCATGTCTGTGTGTGTGTGTGTGAGAGTGAGAGAGAGAGATTAAGATTGAAATAGAGAAGCGGTGTGTGGTGGTAACACAAGGCACCTTTCTGCAGGTCAGTTCAGTACACAGAACAGAACACAAAGTATGTGACAGACACTGTGCTAATTGATTGTTTCCAGTGAGCCATCTGTTCATTTTTTGTGACATAGGAATGGAATCCTAAATTCAGCGAAGAAATGATGCATAAAAAAAACCTTTTTTTTTTGATTTGGGAATGACACTCATTAGAGGAAACCCTGAATGATTATCTAAGTTATTGTTATCTTTTAAATACAAAAATGTTAAAAATGAAGACCCTATTTTTACTACCAAGAAATAAATCAATGGCCTTTTTTAGAACTTTTAAAAGCAGAATACTTTTCCTGTGCCAAACTTTAAACAAATGGCTGATGATTCCAGCTGTTTGAACAGATTGCTAAAGTGCTATTCTGCTCTGGATACACATTTCCTGAACCAATTAAAATGCAGAAATCAAATACTCATTTGAAACTTAAAAAAAAAAAAAAAAAAGACACCAAGAAGAGTAACTGGTTACAGACAAAAGGAACGCTATGAATATTTCATGGGTAGTCTTTTGCTCCATTTTATAGCAGCTTCATTCATTTTAGATAACAGTGAAACACTTCTGCTTCTCCACTTTCAATGAAATATAATGTATCATCTTAACTCCTATTATGATTTGAAGGTCAAGGATAGGAGTGAATATATTCTTATTACTCTACTGTCTTCATGAGCTACTGTCTTCATATTAGGAAATATTTTTAAAACCCATATTATATCACATATAACTCCAAGAGTGAATCCAAAGTCACGTTAGTGTTCCATTTATTCTTATAGTATGAATCAAAAATGTTCACTTAACCAGAAATATGTCTAAATTTGGGAACTGAAAATTCATTTAACTGAACTTGTCTTTACTACTGACACTAAATTTTGATTAAAAATTTCAATAAGTTACATAAGCAAGCAAAATGAAAATTAAAAGTTCATTCATAAAAGAATATACCCGCTTAGAGTGTGCTGAAGTATGCAATACATAGCAAGAATCTCACCTGTGTTTCCTGGACAGTCTGGTCAACATTAGTCAGCAAAGCATCTGGGAATAAAATTTTCAGTGTTATGAACAATTCATTTTTGTAAGAAACAGACTCTAAAACATTTCTTACTGAAAACTTGATAAGATTCTTCTTAAAGATTTATCTAGATTTTTTTTTTTAAACTTACCAGTCCTTGGGTTAATTGCAACTGACTTTTATAATACTTTATAGTTCTCTATGGCTACTTTCTAATACATAATACTATAAAGTTAGAATTTTTAAAAATATTACTCCATTTTCTAAAATGAGTACTTATCAATATGGAATGCACCTTTTCTGTAAAACTTTAATAAGAGAATAAGGCTTCTTTTAATTTTCCCTCCTCAAAGTAAACATTTCAACTACAGAATTGCATTTGATGAATAAGAAAAGATACATCAGCAAAAAAAGAATCCAAAACAGGAAATGTAGTTTCACTATATTCACCACACAGAGTAAAAAATAATCATTTACAGTATAAGCCATTATTCAATAACTCCCGAAACAATAGCATGTTTTACTAAGTACCCATGTATCCTTATATAAAACAGTAATGTTCTAAGTGCAAACACTCTGCCTTTAAATATCCATATATATGTTGCAATTGGCTATAAATGTTTAGTATCATTATATAAGACTGCAGAGCACACATTCTATTTCTTTCCAAAATGTCCTCTTTTAAAGCAAATACTTATACTGCTCCTCTTTTAAAGCAAATACTTATACTGACACAATGGTAAGAAAAAATTAAGTGTCTTACTTCTTTCTCAGTAGGTAAGTGTTATATTATTATAAGAAAATACTTTCTTATAAAAGCTCCAGCACAATTATTCATATAAATTTACAGTGGCTTCTGAAGATTAGGCTTTACATCTCCAGATTATTGAAAGCAATAATAAGACATGTTTGCATTATACAGAAAAAAAGGATTAGGAAATTACATTATGGTAAAGCCAACATGGTATATTTAATAAGCCTCTTCATGTTACTAGATTAATTATTTGTTGGATATATTTTGCAACAGAATCGCAGTATCTCTCTAGCTCATACTTCAGAAGACTGTAAGTACATCAGTTTCCAAACACAAAATGAAAGGAACTTCATGGCTTTCCTCTGAATATACTTGAAAATAATTGTTTTGTTTTTGTTTAAGATTCATGGACATAATAGTCACCTATGTGAAGAGAATGGATAAAATTAGGTAAGTCGTAGAGATGTTATCATAAGGAAGTTCAGAAAAAGAAATTTGTACTAGAGAGTTTATATTCGATTGTAATCTGATAAATAGTTTGTACAGTTGTTCTGGGAGAAGTTCTCTGATAGCCAGCACATTTATACTTAATTTTGTTACATTAATTATAGTCCATGTTGTGAGACATAAAATTATGATTTTAATTTTATAATTATATGTATTAATATGTCTATATTACTTACATAGGTTTTTAACTTATATAGACATATACATATGTACAGTGTGCATATTTTATCCTTTGATAACTTTAAATACTAAATTTCGACTTTGAAATAGCTGACCAAATCAGAAGACATTAGGACCTGGGTAATTTTTTAAATATAAAAAATTGCAAAGTTTTAACATTACCTTAACTAGGTAATTTCATACTTAAATATACTTCCAGTTACAAACTGCTACTTTCGATGTCTCACTATGTCCCACTTTATATAACACCACATTTTTTAGGATGACTCAATTACATTAATACGTTTACCATTCTTTCACTATTAAGTGATCATCTGTACTGCTTCAGAAAGGATTGTTTCTGTTGCAAAACAAAAACAAAAACAAACAAAAAAGACAAAACTAATTGTATTTGTAATCTCAGTATGTATTAATCTAGCATGGGAGAGAAAGGACTGGGTAATCTGGGAGACAGAGCTCTGAAACTATTATAAAATTCCCATCATTAACTTTAATTTCTCTTTCCTCTATGAAATTTAAAAAAAAATAGTTCTTACCCATAAATTTAACTCGACTAACATTTAACCCACAAACATAAGGTAAGTTATTATTGTTATTATTATTATCATCATAAAACAAAGAAGATAAGAAAAATATCCTTTTCCTATCCAATCCATCTCTACTCAAGTCCTTTCTTTTCTCAAAACATTTCACACACACATACACACAGAAGCATCCACATACACTGTTAAGACAAATAGACTTGACTCTTTGAGACACAAGAGAAGACTGAACAAGGAAAAGTGAGTGGATAGTCTTCATTCTGTCTAATATAAATGAACATTGCTTTCTCAGCATTATAAAATGGAATTGGAATTCTGTCACACAGAGACAAAAGTGGGTTGATATCTGCAGACTTCTTTGAAAAATGGCCCATTTATCTTCACAATTTTATATACAATAAGATGCTTTATGGTTTGGAATTCTTTTAGTTATTGGCATTTTAACAATGTTTTTTTTTTTCAGTTTATTATTACGAATAAACATAGGAGAAAATACTAAAATTTAGGAACTAAAAGGAAATTGATGTGAATTTTGTGATAATTGTTCTATTATTAGCTTTAACTTCATAAATGAATATTTAATTGCCTTTCACTATTAATACAAGCAAATAAAATAAATTAAAATTTAGTTTAGAAGTAAGAACTTTATGAGTTCTTACTCAAGGAGAAGTAGAAAATACTTCACAAAAAGATAAAAAGAGATTCCTGTAAACAAATGGAATACATTTAATTCTTTAAAATTTCTTAAATTCTTTTGGAGAAAGTATGCATCATTCAGTAGTGGACTTGCTGTGTTTATAGATAGCTTACAATATTTCAAAAACTTATATTCTAAAACTTGTTTAGTAAACTGTACTACAAAGCAGCTAAAATCAACCGTCTGAAAGCATAAGATAGCTTTCTGTCACCTCAACTTAATTAACTACATTTAATGGTTGGAAAAAAAATACAAAATTAATTGGCCACAGGAAGAGTGTTATTGTATCTAATTGAAATTATTATATTTAATGTACTTCTACTAATCTATTTGTAACTAAAATAAATAATATTCATCGAAACTAACATTTTTTTCTATTTAGGATTTAAGGCAGCTTTAGATGCTTCACTATCTCTTTATGACACTCAGATACTACATATATTAAAAAAAAAAACCTGCTTTAATAACAGTTTGACATTTTCAAACTGACTGGGGACATATGCAAAAAAAAAAAAAAAAAAACACAGGAACACATATAATTAAAAAAAAAAGTTCGGAGTAAATCTCTGTAAATATATTATTTGTTTGTTTATATTGAACAAGCTGAAACCACAATGCATAATGGCTAAAAATCAAGAAAATTATTTATGAATAAGAAAGCAAAAACAGTTTATGTAACCTATACACAGCAACAACAAACAGCAAATTGCATGCTTTGGATCACATGTATATACACATGGCTGGTTAAGTGATGAATGCAACAAATGACAAAAAAAAAGAGACCGATAATTTCTTGTTTATAGTTATATAATATCTAAACCAGAAATCTCCTTGTCCTAATTAATAAAAATTCTTATTACTGCACCTTTTTCCTTGGCCCCATTCATTTACTTATTTGTCTATCCATCCATTCATTTATTCATCTTAGTAACTATTGCTTTTCTGACATTATACCAGATACCTTTAAAACTCCCAATCTCCCAATAGATTTATTTTTTAGTTACTTTGTACTGAAACAGCCCTAAGCAAATTTTTTTTCATAAACTTACAAACAGAAACAAAAAAACTTTTGGCCTTCCTGATAGGCCAATTTTTTGGTGATCTCTAAAAATATAAACCTTTTGAAAGACAGGAACACACTTCTAAGAAGACATGTTTAAAACTTTGGTTAACACACCCTTAAAATAGTCTTGTAAAAGTAACAAAAATTTAAATAGCTTCAATTGCTTTAGTCAAGCTATAAATTTCACAAGGTTAGATATTATAGATTTCCAAGTATTTATGAGAAATAAAAGATATTTAAAATTTCATTAAAAACATAAGAAGGAAATTGATTTCTAAAAATACAGACAATTGGAAAATACAAAATATGTTAATCATTAGCTTTGAGTAAAAATGCTAAGCCGTTGTCTATATTGCATGGTTTTAGAGCCCCCTTAATCACAATCTTCATATGCCAGAGATTTCTTCTTTGAGGATTCATTTCTTTAAGATTCAAAAGCTTTTATATAGTTATGACTTTTAAATACTAGAATGTAAAAACCAGGAAGGAAAAAAATTAACATACTTTTGTCAATTAGCACCCCTTGAAGAAATAAATATTTAATTTAGATTTAAAATGTTTAGTTGAGATTAAAGCATTATTACAGATAAAAAAATACCATATTATCTCACTTATATGTAGAATCTAAAAACAAAACAAACAAAATGCAAGCTCATAGATATAGAGAACAGACTGGTGGTTGTCAGAGACATTGGGGGTGTAGGGGGTGGGGTGCAAAATGAGTAAAGAGAATCACAAGGTATAAACTTCCAGTTATAAAATAAGTCATGGGGATGTAATGTACAGCATGAGAATAGTGTATGTATATTAGAAAGCTGCTAAGAGAGTATATTTTAGAAGTACTCATCACTAAAAAAAGGAATTCTGTAACTCTTTATGGTGACTGATGTTAACTAGACTTATTGTGGTGATCATTTGGCAGTCTATACAAATATCAAATCATTATGTTATACACCTGAAAATAATACAATATTATATGTTAATTATACCTCAATATAAAAAAGAAAAAAAGATATTCATGTATCAAATTTTTGAGTTAAAAAATAAATTGTTTGGTTGGAATTAGAGCATTATTACAAAAATAGTGTTGAAAACTTTTGATTTTATAAAATACTACCTCATGTGATCTTATCTATTCCTCTTAAGAACTAGCTACCTGACCCATGAAGGCTAATTAGATTTTAGAAATGTGAAGGGCAAACTGCAGAAAGGGAAGCATGGCACAGAAGGTACTTAGGAAACACCTAGACTGACATGGAAAGCAATCTCTAACTGCTTTAACCTTGACCTCTTTTGAAAGCTATCACATTAAATCATGTGTGATAAGATATACCTCAGTCCAGTTAAAATTAACAAAAAAATTTATATATGCCTCAAGCAGAAGAAAATTAAACTAATGATTGACATTCTTCAACTTGTTTCAAATGGTATTTTAAGTGATCTGAGTTAGTAAACTCATTACTTTATGGCTAAATTTTTGTGCAAAGTTCTGACATGAGCCTTATTCTCAAACAAAAACAAAAACAAAAAACCCTTAATGTTAACCCTTGTTTATGAATCTTTAATAAAATATCACCAAATTAGCAAATAATGTTGTAAGACTTTCAACAAGTAAATGGGAACATTTGTAAGTAGACCTTGATTTCAATGACTATCCAAGAACCCCGTATTAACAAGCAGCAATAAATATTATTGCCTGAATAAATTTAAAAACCTTTTTTTTTTAAAGTTGAATGGTTTCTAATTAAATTTTATCACACGTTTTGGTTAAAATAATAAATGCATTTACTCTAAAAGAAAAACATTCAATTCAAAATCACAGCACAGAAGGGAGAAACAAAACCACTATCTGGTTAATGAGCAATGACTTCATATTACTTATAAATGTAATAAGAACTTCATTAGAAGTTTTTTAAATTACTTGGTGATAAAAATAAACATCTCTTTGATAAGGCAGTTTTGTATTTTTATCTCCCTTTTTAAATTGCATCAAAAAAATAATACACATTCATTCAGCGAATGTGTATTAAATAAATGAAAATACCTTCATATGCCCAGGTAGAGGCATATAAAATTGTAACTTAAAACTGAACTGAATTGTTTTGATAAATGTAAAATCAATTGTATTTTCTTCTGCCTCCCACTTAAAAAGCTGTGTCCTGGATAAAAACTATCATAGAACCATTATGGCACCTGAACAAAAAATGTTGTTTAGAAGGGTACTTATTTTAACACTGTCTGGGTAAAGCTATTGAATATTTTATTTTAAATAATGTAACAACACAGAATTTTCTCTACAATATTTGCCTAAAAACAACACCACTGTCAATGAACAAAAATAGACAACCTACTCATTGAAAAATACCAATTATCCATAGGCGATCCTTTGTAAGACTAGAGGAAATATCATTATTAATGCAAGACTTTATTTTTCCTATGACAACTTTCATTTTGTGATCTGCTACTGCAGAACCTGGAAGCTAGTTCTAGAATAGGAAAAGGTACTAGGTGCTGCTATGTTATGCATTTTTCCCTTACCATTTTTAATATATATATATATATATGACTATATACATAAATTTATATACATAAACATATATAAATTTACATACATAATTATACCCTAGAAGGTTTATACACCTTGGCTCTATTAGCTATATTTTAGAAAAACAGGACAGAATTTTCAAATGCCAATTTCCTATGTGAGTTTCAAAAAAAAAATAATTTTTTCATTAAAAAGAAACAGTAGATTACACGGTGCTTTCCAATATATACTCAGAATTTGAAAGAGCTGCTTTCCCACTATGCCCTTCAAAACTGTTGGACTGAATTAACATTCCATTCATAGACATGCTTCTTTTGAAAAATAGTCCACATGTGCTTGGTGAGTTAATATAACAATAGTATTCCTTAATTTCTCCATTCAGGGAGTACCTGTGCCTTGTTCTGGGTCTCTCAGCGGGCAAAGTGAGAAACTTACTTGGCTTTGAATGTGCTCTTTTAGATGTGGGCCCCTCTGTGACAGAATCAGGAGGTCGACTAGCTAACTGCAATGCAGTTGAGTTGTTCCTGTTAATGTTTTGGGACTCAACATTTGTGACTGCTTCATTCTGTGGTTCGGTACATGGCTTTGCGCCTGTCTTTCTTTTCTGCTTTTGGGACATAGATGTGCTTGAAGTCCAGGTAGGAGGCAAAGCAGAGGTAGTGGTAGAGGAGTCCTGACTTGAACAGATTTCTGAAGGTTGTATCACATTGTCATTGGCAACTTTACAACACTGGGTATTCTCTTCATGTCCCACGGTTTGTTTGGACATGGACTGGGGCAGCGTTACACTGCAGCCTTGTATCTGAGCCCCATTAGTTTGAGAATAGACATTGCTGACCTTGGTCACCTTGTGTTGCCCATTATTGTTACAAACCTTATACCGAATCATTAGAATGATGATGAAAACCAGCACAGATGCTACAATTATTCCACCAATAATAATAATCATGGTGCCTCCCAAAAACTGGGACTGCATGAAATGGCATCGCACGTAATCCTGTTCTGTAGTAAACTGGATGCAACCCACGACTCTTGTGGCAGTGAGGGAAGTGATGCCATCATCATATATTGCCAAGACACACAAGTCATACATAGTTCCAGCAGCCAGGTTATTGACAAGAAAAGTTGTGCTCGTAGGAGGTATCATTCTGAGGGACAATGGAATTTGTGTTAATATTAAAAAGAAAACAAAACATATACACACACAGAATCATAATGACTTCAGTTCTGTTTCATTTTGGTACTCATTAAGATAAGCCCATTTAAAACAGATATGAAATATGAGAAAAATGATCTAAGTTTATGTTTACCCAGTTAAAATGGCTAAAACTTATTTGTTGGATTCTGCATTATATTAATGATGCCTGCACCATGCCTTTGACAAGCTTACTAATTACATTGCTTGGCAAAGCAAAACTCCTAATAAAAGCCACTGCTCAAAAATCATTTATGACAAATTGCTTTTGAAAGGTATGACTGTGACATTATCCGACTACTAAACAAATCCATTTAGCACTTACAACACTTCTGTGACTAAAAGCCAATTTGAAGGAAGGGAAAACATTGACAATCACGTTAAAAACCAGAGTGGAAATGCATTTTGAAGTATTTATTTTCCAAATCAGTTATAAGCTGCTATGGAATGGCATCTAGTAAAACTATCTTTAATAACTAAGATAATTACTAAGATTAAAGTATCTTATTTACAGATCTCAGTTCTCTTTTAAACCTCAACACTTTGTTCCCAGTATGTTTTTATCTATATATGATTTTGATGAAAATGTATGAGTAATATTATTCTATAAATATGAACAGGGCAAGGCTGTTGAAAACATAAATCCCTCGCCTTTCTGCATTGTGGGATGAAGAAATTACTTTCAGAACACAGTTTCTAAAATTTGATGAGTTTATAGACATCTCTGTATTTATTACATCACAAATGTCTTCTGTAGATGCCTCTTATCCTCTAAACTTTTTTTTTTT